ACATGTCGTCGTGTAATTAATACAAGTCATCATGTGCGCCGCATAATCGTGATTTCAATTTTGAACAAAATAATCGTGATTATGATTTTTTCCATAATCGAGCAGCCAACACAACACAACTTTTCAGTTACATTTTTTTGTATCTTTGAACGTTTCTATCTGAATGAAGAAATGTGGACTGACCATCTGCTAATAACAAAATATTTGCTTCACCCAAAATGGGAAATACCGGTGCAATAAACTGCCGTTTGAAATACCTTCATAAACCCTGCTAAAATATCATCATTAACTGTTTGGAGCTGAAAGTTTAACTCAAAACTACAAAATTAAAGAATTTTACCCCAAGCTACACAATAAACACCTGACTTGACTGTCTGTGTTGAGTGGACCCTTGTGATGAATTTGGATGTTTATCATCATTGCATTGAATTTCAAAGACCTGTGTCGAAAACACACCAAGCAGCGTCGTAGTGTGGCCTGTGGCGAGCCGCCATGCACTGTCTAGGGAAAGCTGCGTCAGCGATCCAAGCTTTGTGGGCTGTGGCGGTTAGATTATGCGGTGAAGCCTGACTAAACTAAAAGTTGGGGGTAGTTTCATAATGCCTGTGAGTCCTGTGACTCCTGTGACATGTTGACTGATGTCACAAAGATTTTCTTCCCGTCTGAAACACACAAACACGCCTCTCGGCTGCAGGAAAATGTAATTATTGCAGCGAGCCACACTTCACCACTGCTTGGGGTGTTTTCAGCATTATGCGGACATATGACCACGACTTCAGTCGTACTTTCTACCCACAGTGTCCTGCAGGTAAAACAGGTGAATTAATGGTTAAAACCTGTGATGGAGGAGCCGTGCAGCTTCAGTGTTCACTCCTTCGATGATGATCAGTGACCTGGTTTATTCTTTTGGCTCTGTTCTCCTGTCTTCTCTGGTTTCAGACGTCTCTTTTCAGTGGACGTCTTGGCTCACTTACTTGTTATGATGGTAGAAAGAAAGCTCATCAGTGATGCCACACTTACCTCTGACATGCATTTTTTATGTGTGATCTTGACACACTTTTATTACAGCGAAGATATACGCCACATAACTGCAGGCTCTGTGTGGGTTTTTGTGTTTGATCTCCCGTTCTTGGACACTTGAAAATGGACAAAATTTTAGAAGTAAATGGGATCTCTTGGGAAAATAAAGCTTCTGTTCTTTTTATTTTTGTGCTCATTATTGATTCACTGCAGAAAACCCACCCTGCAATCAGAAGTATTGAGACACATGATCTTTAGTATGTCTTAGTTGAAGAACTTGTGGAGGCTGCTTCTGCTCGCTGTAAACAGAAATATATGTCATTAGATATAGATGTGTGAAAGAGGGAGATGCTAAGAACTAAAACAGGGATTTGAGCCAGAAAACTAACCCCGGCGGCGCTCCAGCAGTTTGCAGGACTTCCCTTCAATAGTTTCATCTTCATTTCATGTCCACATCAGACTGATGTGTTTAGTCAAATGCCTCAAAAGTGAATTAGGACTAGACAATCACTCATGACAGGCTCTCCGGCCTAGAAGACAGTCAAACCAGGTCACTGTTGATACTGGGCATATTAATCATACAGTATCTAACTGTATCCCTCAAAAGACCAACAAAGTTTAACAAGTCATGTGTGGATAATGAATCAGTTTATCTATGAACACATGAAACAGGGCTCTTTATGCAGCGATCATGCTACAGTGGATGGCAGACTGACGCTTACGTACTCCAAACATAAATGAAGTCTCTGATGTTCCACAGAGGAACAATGATAAGATAAACCATCCTTTCATGTCATCATGTCACATAGCCTCAGGGTGTTGTGTTTCATTTGAAGGAGTCTTTACATCTTTAAGTCACAAGATCAGAAGATAGATGCTCTGTTCACACAGCTCTCAGTGATGGTGGTTTCCATGCTGCTACTGCCACTCAACTCAGTGTGGTATTCAAAGCACCACAACCACAGTGTCAACACCACAACTGTAGTAGAATCAACAAGTAAAAGAAAGTGTAGACACATTAAATGGAAAGACGTACAACTGAACTGGTTCGTTATTTCTGTGTGCGTGGTGTCAGTCCGACCACCCTATAATTCGCCTACCCATTAGTCCGACTACCCAGTTGTCCGACCAGGGTTCTATTTTTTGAGAGCTATTAGTCCGACCTCCCAATAATCCGAACATACTTACGCCATTTTTCCGACCGCCGCTCTTCCGACCAGGTATCATTTGTCAAAGTGGATACCTTGCTCAGAAGTTTTCCTGGATAGCCTAGCGTAACTGCTTTACATTATACAGGCACAGCTCAGCGAGGCATGACAGAACCAAGTGGTTCGCGTGCAAACAGCCATGAAGTTGACTCTACAATTCACGCTATTGAGGGAAGTCACTAAATGATATGACACTCTTGGTTATGGTTGCACACAAAACTAGCCAACCCCAACCACAACAATAAGATAGGCTAAACTACAACAAAAATACTATAAAAGGGCTATAAAAGAACATAAAACGGGCTATTTTAAGTAGCCTCCAACACGGCCCGAAACACCCTCTGGATAATATGCAAAACCAAACGTCAGGTTAACGTTAACAGGACGGAATAGCGGCCGTCAGGAAAATAGCAAAAGTATGGTCGGATTATTGGAAGGTCGGACTAATGGATCTCAAAAAATAGGACCCTATGGTCGGACTAATGGGTAGTCGAACTACTGTATAGGGTGGTCGGACTGATTCGTTGTCCCCGTCATTTTTAGCCCCAGTGAGCAACGTATCCTTGTAAAATGGTTTATATGATATCTTACAGATTAGCATCCCACCAGTGGGGTTGCCACGTTGCGTACTTGACGTTAACTTATGTATTTAACTTGAAGTTACATAGGGTTAGGTATCAGCAAGTAAAGTAGGTTAGGTTTAGGAAAAGAAACATGGCTGAGCGTATGTGCACAGTACATGCTTAATGTTAAATTACGCACTTAATGTAAAGTAATATAGGTTAGGTTTAGGAAAAGAAACATGGCTGAGCTCATGTGCACAGTACGCACTTAACGTTACGTTGCACACTTAATGTAAAGTTATGTTGGTTAGGTTTAGGAAAAGAAACATGGTTGAGCATTTTCACGTTACATGCTCAACATAAAGTTCAACCTTAGCGTGAAGTTACTTATGATATGTTCAGAAAAAAGAAACAAGGTTTAGCGTTGTGATGCTATGTACTTAATGTAAAGGTATGCACTAAATGCAAAGTTACGTGGTTAGGCTGAGGAAAAGAAACATGGTTGAGCATTTTCAAGTTACATGCTTAACATAAAGTTCAGCCTTATCGTGAAGTTAAGTTTCAGAAAAAAGAAACATGGTTTAGCATTGTGATGCTATGTACTTAATATAAAGTTCCCCATTAATGTAAAGTTACGTAGGCTAGGGTTGGGTCGGTATGAGGAAAAAAACAACGGTCTGGTTTTTGTGAAAAAACGCATCAAGTCGGTAATACCGGATTTTTGCCACTTGGGGGCGCAATTGACTTCCGCATTGTAGTAGTTTCCTGTAAAAATGTCCGTGAAAAATCCCTGCGATGTGAAAAATACATGCAGAAGCAGTCTTTTGTGTGACACTGGTGCGTGGAGCGTAGTCCGCGCGGTCGTGCTTTGCGCACCCAGGGCTTGCGGACGTCCGCTTTTACCGGACGGACATCTGCAGAGTCTGCTCTGCGTACGTTCCGCCCAAGTATGCGGTCCAGTCGGTCTCAAAAAAAAAAACCCGGTCCAAGACGGAGTACCGAACTGAATCAGTATTACCGAGAACAGACCCAACCCTAACGTAGGCTAGGTTTGAAAAACACCGTTAAGCATTGTCATGTTACTTAACATAAAGGTTCCTAGGTTAGGTTTAGAAAAAAACATGGTTACGCATTGTCACATTACTTAACCTAAAGTTACTTAATTAAAGTAAAGCTACATAGGTTAGGTTTAGAAAAAGAAACATGGTTGGGCATCATCACATTACGTACCTAACAAAGTTACGCACTTAACTTTAAGTTATGTCGGTTAGGTTTAGGAGACAAAACGTGGTGACGACATACCTCAAAATGACTCAACAAGTTCACACCAAGTACAAACACCAGTTACCTGAGGAAAAACCCTGTGTTTGTTTGACCCATCCACGACCCCAACCTGCCTCGTTATGCAGACTTATGCTCTTTATACAACTTCTTTCTTTAGTCCATCAGTGTGTTGGTTGGGATTGCAGCCTTCCTGATTACCTGGTTTATATACAGACTCTGCTGCGTGACTCTTTGTCGTTATACATACGAACAGTGCAGAGAACAGCCTGCAATGAGACATCTAGAAGTTGCTTCTTTATTAGTTTGGCTGATTTGGGCCGTTTATCAACAGTAGAAGCAGTGACTGTGAGCCACAGCTCATGGAGACAATTAAGGTACTTTAAAGGAAATAACACCCGATTGCAGCAATTTTCAGATGCTCCATATGACAATCATCATGTTTTTATTTTGCTTCAGTGTCACAGTAATCCAGTGATAGTTGGATCCATCCATGGATACAACACAAACAGGCTTTGTTAATAGCTCATTTGGCACGCTGCTAATGGTGCCAATTTGCTGTTGGTATTACCCAAAGCCCCCAAATTATGGACACCGTTGATCCAAAACTTAGAGCAGGATTATACAAAGGACAAAGAATGGAAGTCTCAGTCGTCCTCCAACAGTGTGACAGTGACACTTTAGCGAAAATACAGGCAAACAATACAAAGTGTATACAGAATTGTTTGATGACCACGACTGGAAGCCAGCTGTTTGTAAAGTCACTGGATCTGTGTTATGAGCTGCCTTTCAGTGAAGAGATATTTGTTTATAGTCGCTGCTTGTGTGAACGGCCTTTGTGAACTGAAATGAACCAAACAGAGGAAATACAGACACCGAGCTGTATGTGTGATCTCACCCTCCGTCCATCTGTCCCTGTGTGTTTCAGGTAGCAGCTCAGGCTGTGTTGTTCATGTGTATGAACACTGCGGGGATATTCATCAGTTACCTGTCAGACCGGGCTCAGCGTCAGGCCTTCCTGGAGACGCGGCGCTGCATCGAGGCTCGGCTGCGACTCGAGACAGAGAACCAGAGACAGGTGAGACAATAACACCGCCGACACAGGGTCAAAACTGTTTTTGGTGCCTGTTGAGTTTGGAGACGAGAGCTGCCACAGTATTTATGCAGGAAACAACAGAGCCCAAAAGCACTTTGTTACTTTGACTGGGGCAGGTTAAAGGTGTTTTTTTCCAGGGAATACAATGGTGGCTCCTGTCCTGTCTGAAATATCTCAACTACTATGAGTTTGTTTGCAATTAAATTTTGTACAGGCATTCGTTGTCCCCAGAGGATGAATCCTAATGACTTTAATGGTTTGCGGACCATGAGTTCGACATTTGTGGCTCAGAGTCAAATATGCCAACAACTATTGGATGGATTGTCATGATGTTTGTTACAGATAATCAAAGTCTCTATTTGGGTGAACCTGTCACGGTTTCAGTAGGTATAAATGTCGACTTTTCCTGTGTCAGCTTACACTGGATGGATTGGCACAACATTTTGATACAGATAATCAGGCCCACACATAATCTGCACCCACAGAGCTCAGATGACATCTCTGTGGATTTTCCACAAATTAAATATTTTGGGGGGTTTGGGTTTTGGTGCGTCATCTGCAGTGATGCCAGCACTGCACTGACCATCATAGTGAAGAGGGAGCTGAGCTGGAGGGCGAAGCTTTCGATTTACTGGTCTATCTACGTCCCAACCCTCACCTAGGGTCATGAGCTCTGGGTAGTGATCGAAAGAATGAGATCACGGATACAAGCAGCCGAAATGAATTTACTCCGTGGGGTGTCTGGGCTCAGCCTTAGAGATAGGGCGAGGTGCACAGACATCCAGAGGGAGCTCGGAGTAGAGCCGCTGCTCCTCCGTGTCGCAAGGGGTCAGTTGACAATGTGTGTGTGTGTGTAAGTGTGTGTGTAAGTGTGTGACACAGAGTGGCAGAGCTGGCCCCGCCCCTCGCACATGCAGCCTGCTGTGAGGCTCCGACACAGAGAGCTCTCCTCTGAACTGACCAGTAAAAATGCCTCAGTGACGAACATCTTAATTTTATTACAAATTAGAAACAGAGTTTGTAGGATAAAAACTGTACAAGATAACATTTATGTCACCTAAACGAACAAGAAATATATCTCCTGAATTTCTCCAATATTGATCGCAGAACCGTTGTAGCTTATCAATACAACAGTCTTTAATGATTCAGCCCCAGGGCCCGTTTCATTCTGGGTTTCCGTACCCATCCTTATGGACTTGTAGTCTTGTTTGTGTGTGTGATGACTGGGTATTTATTGCTCAATGAGAGTGCATAAGTTGACTGTTTATGTCTTCATATTTATAGTTTGCTGGTTACTTTATAATTTATGTCTCGTCGCATTGGTCAATCTGTTTTTTTCCCTTTGTCTTATTTTGGCGAGAGTGCTCTCAGCCACATGTAAAATGTTCTCTTACCTAACTGAGGAGCAAAAATAAGAAAGCATTGGAGAGTCCCAGAAATTGCTGGTTGCTTAGAAAATAAGAACAAATCATGGGCACAAACAAAAATAAGGAAATTTGTCTATATATCCCTTCCTGCATGAGGCTCAATGACCTCTATGACCTTCAACAACCACTGGAGCATCACAGCAGCCCAAAACACAGCGTCACAGAACAGAACCACGAGTTTTTCCTTCCTGTTGTTTAGTGATGAAGCTCAGTGTGAAGAGACTTTGATAAAAGAAGCAAAGCGATTGATGGATTTCTGTTGACAGGACTGAATGTTAGCTAATGAGCCCGCAGAGACGAGAATAACATGGACGCTGCATCGATCCGCTGCTGTCACGCGAACCGTGCATCAGTGCAGTGGACACAGACACACACAGCTGCAAATGCTGCCCAGCAAGGCAACACACACACACAAATAGAAAGAATACACATAGTCTGAGTCAGATGAGCGCTGAAGTATACACACAAACACACAGAACACACACACAGCGACACACAGAGAGCTTTGTTTACGCAGTGGAGTGGACAGTCGGGCTCTGAGAAGCCACAGAAAGCTTTTACCGTGTTGTGTTTCCTGGAAGGGTACGGCACTGATAAGCTCTGGGATGGTTGTAATGGAGCGAGATGGGGCCCCGCCCCGAGCAGACCACTTTAATGTGGACCAATCAGGGCCTGGTATTTCTGTCAACATGCTGTAAGAACACAGAGCCATGTTTCTGTCCACGCAAGAAACACTCTGTGTGTTTACTCAGAAATACTGTTGTTTTTCCGTTAACCCATTAACCGGGTAACTAGTAAAGTCCGACTGATATATTGGTCAGCAGATATTATCGGCTGATATCGGCCTCTCATAACATACCAGTATCAGTGTACATGTTGTCTGATATGCACTGATATGGAATCTTTTCTCAACTCAAATTTCTTCATAAAGCACATTTAAAAACAAGTCACGTTGACCAAAAGGAATCAGTCGCCAAAAACTCAAACTCAAGAGGTAACATTCAGGGACATGACACACACAGGCACATGTCAGAGAAAGCCACATCAGGGGGGCTCAAACGCCAAAGAATTAAAGTAGGTTTTGAGCCTTAAAGGAGTCAGTGGCAGGGGGCAGATCTGATTAGGAGGGCGATGCTGTTCCACAGTTTGGGGGCAGACACAGCAAAGGCACGATCTCCCCCTGAGCTTGAGTCTAGAGCATGGGACAGCCAGGGGCCCCAGGTCTGCTGAGCTAAGGGTGAAGCTGAGCTGGGGGTAGAATATGGTGTTAGGATGCCTTTGAACCCAGGGCTTAGTAAACAGGAGAACCTTAAAGTCAGTTCTAGACTTTACAGGCAGCCAGTGCAGAGAGACTAAAACAGGTGTGATGTGGTCTGTCCTCCAGGTAGTTGAGAGGAGCCTGGCAGCAGCGTTCTGAACCAGTTGGAGGTGGGACAGAGAGGACTGACTAATATTAGTGTACAGAGAGTAACAGGGTTTTACAGAACATATTCTAGTACGTTGGTTTCCAGCTGGTGGGTTACGGTCTTTAATTTTGAAGTGCAGTTTCCTGCTGTAGAGTGAGCGGCGCCACTAGCTAGCTCCCAGCATACCCAGTGGTGCACAGTGCAGCAAACTGGAGAGTAGAACAAATTATCTGAAATATTTTCAGCAGATTAAAAGTTAATCGTTGACATCCCTAGACTCATTTTATGAAGTGTAGCCAACAGAAGCAGAAGTTCTGAGAGCATCATCGGTGCAGGAATGTGTCCTAAAACCATTAAATGAGTTAGCATTTTAGCACTCCTCGTCTTGAAGTCAGCAGGTTTTTTTTTTTTTAAAGATTATTTTTTTGGGCTTTTTGCCTTTAATATACAGGACAGTGTGAAATGGGGAGACAGAGAGAGTGGGGGGACGACATGCAGCAAAAGGCCGGAGTCAAACTCGCGACCGCTGCAGCGAGGCATCACCTCTATACATGGGGCACCGGCACTATCCACTAAGCTACCGACGCCCCAGTCAGTGGGTTTTTGAATGGGTTTTCGGTCTATGGTCAACACAAACTTCAGAGACTTTCACATTGTGTTCTGCGACATAAAATACATCAGTACATACCCCACTTGTTAATTTTGAAGTCTTTCGGTGTCTTTAAAATGGCGGTTGCTAACAAGTGGCTAATACAAAACATCATCATGCTGTACAAGGCTTTAGTGTAGTTAGCTTATAGCCTAATGTTTGCTTTTTACCTTTGGCGATTGCATTTAGGCTTCAAAAATCATGAAAGTGGTGTTAATGCATGAGGACTACCTTGCTGATCAAAACGTGTCGTATACGTGTGTTTGCCACAGAGCTTATTTTCTGCAATTATCCAAAATCCAATGGGAAAAAAATAATAACACATTTCATTAATATAGCACCTTTCATACAAGAAATGAATCACAAAGTGTTTACAATAAGGGCATTATCAGCACTGAGTGTTTGAAAATAGACAGAATGAACATATAATAATCCAGCAAGGCTATTTAAAAATTATTTAAATGATTGGTGGTGGTGATTCTAAGATCCTATTCATGGAAATCTCAGAACATATTTCTCCTTTTGTCACCTTGTAGGCCTCCAATGTCAGCAGCAAAATCCCATTGGCTTTTTGATGAGGGAACCAGGGCGATGCAAACTTCTGCTTCTCAACAACAAAACAGTGCTCTGTGCTCACAGTGTAAATATGAAAGTCATTCTTGGCAGCAATTATGTGCCATTTAAGTCTTTAAAGAAACTGATCTTTATTGTTTTGGAAAAAACCCTTTATGGGTCAGTGCAGAAGCACGATTAATGAATATGGATCGACTTTACACACTGACATTAATCTGGAGCTTAAAGCTGTTCCACTGGTGACATTCAGCCGAAAACTCCCCACAAGTGACAATAAAAGCAAGACGAAGGAACAAAGTGTTTTCTAGTGATCCTTTAAACACGATACAAGTTGTCAGCGAGCTGCTGCAGGGCTTCAGGTCTCGGCTAAAATCAAGCTGCGCTAATGACTTCCAAAGCTAATCTGACACTGAGTCCGCTGGCTCTCAGCTGTCCAAACCAGAGACTGTGTCCAGTGGAGCAAACACACACTGCAGCCGCCGTTAACTGTCCACACTGCAAAAAATGTCCACCTGAGCCAGTCTGTCACTGCTGTGTGTGAATCTATAAAAGAATAAGCACAAACTCCCATGCGAGATGAGATGCAGTTTGACTTGTCTTGAGAGACAGTGAGTTCAAAAGAGGTCAGTTCACTCTTTAAATATTGATTAAATGTGAGGCTAGAGAGATGACTGCTTCCTCTATATGATCAAACGTAGATTAAAAGAAGCATGTCGGGTGCTTTTGGGAAAAAAAAACAGGATTAACAGGAAGGCAATTCAGACACTCAGGCAAATATAAGAAGATATCATTCACTTAAAAGCCCCGGCAAAGACCAACAAATTCTCTTTTTGACCTCAAATAATGAATATTCTCACTATTATGGTTTATATTAAATTGATATATAGGATTACACAAATCTCCAATGGCCATTACAGTTGTAAAGTA